CTGGGTACTGGACGCCATTCTGGTCAACAGTGTAGGCGGCCGGTGGCGCTGTAACATATGGCCCTTGAACTGCTGGCATGTTCGGTGGAACGGCTTGCATATTTTGAAATTGGCTGGGCGATTGCCAATTAGTCATTGACCCAGCGGGCGACTGGCCTGGAGAACTGTCTTCTTTGATCGATTGATTTGCTGAACTTTGAGTCGCAGCTGCCATGGTCACAGCGGCTGCGGAAGGTCGTACTGGCTCCATTCCTGGGTTCTGTGGCGAAATCTTGAGGTGATCCAAGTGTCTCTCAAGCATATCGAGAAGACTCTTGCGGGTGAATGGTTTGGGAAGAACATCATCCATTCCTAGAACGGGTTAGTGGAGGACATTGATTCACTCTTGGATATTTATCCTACCATGTTGGAAATAAAGCTGGATGTCGTCGCTTCGGATGTTCGAGGTCATGGCGATGATAGGCGTGCGATCAAATTGGCGAATGAGATGGCATGCCGATACACCGTCCAAATTGGGCATAATGATGTCCATCAGAATCAAATCGTATTTCGAGCCACCCTGGATTTTGTTCACAGCCTCCAAGCCGTCAAACTGTTGGAAATATTAGTAACATTGTGCGGGTCAATAGGACAAGACCGATGACGTACCGCGGTATCAATAACACACGAGAAGGAGTACAGGAATTTGCCGCCAATTTGCCGACAAGTGGCGTCGTCCTCAACCAAGAGAATCTGCGGGCTGCGCACCCAGCCAGGGTCCACATTCGTGCTCTTCTTCCGGTTGTCGGGAAACTGCCGACGAGCATCTGAAGTTTCTATCTCCTGCTTGGCAGGCATTGGGTACGGGACATTGTTGATATGCTCGCTGTACATGGGATCGATGCCGTTTGTGGCACCCACGGGATACACCACTTGCTCCAGATCACCGGCCATCTTGGGGTAAACGAGTGCTGGGTTTGGTGGTGCAGTTGTCGCGGGACGGAGCGTACCATTTCGCGCATTCGGATCCAAGGTGGGAGCTGAAACGACGGTCTTTTGAGGGTCGTTCATCGAGTCGACGCCGTTCATATTGAATTGTAGTTCGGCGTTCATGTCATTTAGGAGCTTTGAGGCTTGCTGGAGGGGCGATGAGGGTTCATCGTCCGCTGCACCAACCTGGGAAGGGCTCATTGTCGTTCCGGGCGCTTGGAATGCCACGGCTTTGCTGTCTCGACGTTGGCGCGCGTCCACCGAAAGCAAGTAGGTCATCACCTGGTGAATGACATTCTCGTGGTTCAAAACCGTCTTCTGTACTCGCATGACTTCCTGTAGCATGAGCTGATGATCCACCGTGAGTTGGGCGTATCGGTCTGATAGATGTTGGATCTGCTGCTGTTGCGCCACAATCTGTTGGTTGAGAAGATCAATTTGTTGCGTAGGTACGGAGTCGTCCGTGGGTTGGGTTTGTTTTCGTGGCGCGGGTGCCTTTCGACGAATGTTGTCGAGCGATTCTTTGCTGTTTGCGCGGAACTCCGGGTGCTTGAATTCCCATGCCTTTGTAATATGTGTGAGACCGTCGATCCAATTGACTTTCGAATGGGAGGGGGATGCCTACATTCTGTCCATATGGCGACTGGCCATTTTCTTCATTGTTTTGTCGCACCTTGTGGAAGTCGTATTTGTTCAGTTGGCGTACAAAACTGGCAAAGTTGCTGTGTTTAAAATGTTTCGGTAGGATGGTCTTGGTGAATTTCTCGCACTATGGGGATTCGAGTTAGCCAAGCTCAGAGAGACCCGAGACCCGAATCCGTCCGGCCACACAAAGCCACGGGCGCATTACCTCCAATACCACAAAGGAATCCCCTTCATCCCCCCAGCGTACGATCGATGCATAGGTTGGGTCCTCCAGCATTCTGTGGGAAAGGTCAGGTTTAAAAGTCCAAGGATAGCAGGGTGTGTTTGAAGAGCACTCACTTGTACAGCTTGCGTACCTATTCATGATGTTAGTTCAAAAATCATAATAATATATAGAGACTATAGGGTCACTAACAAAATCACTGGAGTTCCCAGCGGGGGCGGGATTGGAAGAGGTCTGGCCAGCGTCCATGCTGGGCTAGACGGGTCGCGACCGGTCGAACAAGCAGGTCTGGGTCTCGTCCCAACGCGAATAAACTCGATTGTAAATATAACAAGGAAGTTCGAATATACTCCAAAAGAAAAAAGAAGAGGGAAGAAAAGCCAGACCTTCTCGGAGGGTGGGAAGAGAGAAAAAAAATGAAATAATAACGGGGGTACGGTCAGTTACTGGGTTTGGCGGTAGAGCCAAGTACCAAAGTTACTGTGGAGGTACTGTCTAGTACATGCGATGGACTTGCACTGTTCCAGTTTTCGTGTTATTTCATCGTTTTGGATTCTTTTTTTTACCAATACCTCAATACATAAATACATTTTATATTAACAGATCTGAATGGATTGAACTGATTTACCAACATTTCCAAATGCAAGGAGGTTGATCTTAAATATCCCAGCACTCAGGGACCAACGAGGGGCAAAATTCCAGTATGTCACACACACTCCCGAAGGTACTAACCAGGTATTGTATAGGTACAAGTTCTTAAGACACAAAACAAAAGAAAAAAAACTTCATAATAACCACATCTTATTCGCTATGAGAATAGCCAGATGCAGGACAGACATGATAGAGGGGATCGTGTCAGTGCGCACGAGATGGAGGGGCATTCCCCCTAATGACCTGATTGAACCAAAAAAAAAATGGTGAGACATTGAATTAGCGTAGACCCAGTGGGTTCAGAAAAAGAGACATCAAAGAAGTCTTTCAAAATGTTTAGTGTGTAACGGGGGATAAGCAGTATATGCTATATGCTCCACCGAAAAAAAAACGCTTTTTAATCTATTTTATATGGATAACGTGTAGTGATCAGCCCTGCCATTCTCCGCGTGTCTCACTTTTGATGTGTTTGAGCTTGGGTTTGAACCTATTTGATCATTTCACGACCCTATATTGATCGGAGAGAACCACTAATTCACTCTTCCCGAGACCGGATATTAAGTGAAAGATATGAAATACAATGTCAACTTCCATTATCCCAGAATTGCCCCAATAATCCATGTCTTTACCGAAGAATTACCCTATAACACTTCGCAACGTGGTTCGCCATAATCTAAAAGCCAAGGAGTCCAGATATTAAAAGATCCAACACCAGTTGTTCCCACCGTAGCATATGGCCGTCATTACAAAAGCGCACAATCACTTATATCACCTGGACCCCGGTCAAGTTCATTGTCCAAACACCTGTGTCGGCGCCAAACTTCATGTTGAACTAGAAGATGACTGCATCCTTCAGCAGGAGGTTGATGACCCCCCGTGTGACGGAGCAAGGATCCACTGCGTCATGGAGGAATAGGATGCGACTTCATATCATCCGATTCGAAGATAGCCCGCTCGACCTCTTCTTAAAAGAGTTCACTTACTATAGGTGACAGCTCACATAGGTTACTTCGCGGTACCTGCGGTATAGCCTCCGCAGGTCGCACCGGTATCCACAGGTCGAGGGCGAGTTTCTGTACCAATCAACAATGATGTGCATCAAATAAGGAAGAAAATAAACACAGAATAAGAGGTAAAAAAATAAAAAGAAAGAAAAAGAAGCATCAACTATGGGGAAAAAAAGCAAATACGAAGGTGTAAACAAAGTTCTTAAAAATAATGCAATAGCAACGGCCATGACGAAATCCACCTAAGCTCCCCTCGACATACCGCCCTTGCTCTCTCCCCATTATTTTACGTCCACTTCTTACTATCCTTCCTTTGATACAATTAACCTAATCCCACCGTTAATCCCAATTAAAACCACCATGTTCGCCCGCCGTATCGCAACCAACATCCCCCGCGTTCGCGCGCAAGCATCCTTCTTCCACAGCACTGCGCCCGCGTTCGTGCAAAAGGGCGACGCTATCCCCAACCTGGACGTCCTGGTCGAGAACTCCCCCGGTAACAAGGTCAACTTGGCCAAGGAGATCAAGAATAGGGCTGTTATCATTGGCACTCCCGCTGCCTTCAGTACGTGAACTCACCCTACCTTAGTAGAAAACAAAACCTCCCGTTCAGGACTGACATTTTTCAAGGCCCCGCGTGCTCCAGCACCCACGTTCCCGGCTTCATCAACCACCCCAAGCTCAAGGAGGCTGGTCAGGCTTTCGTCATCTCTGTCAATGACCCCTTCGTGTAAGCTATAAATCTCGACTTGCAGGGCGAAAGCTTTGTTGGGACATTTGTTGACAAAAAGCTATTATAGGACCAAGGCTTGGGCTGATTCCCTCGATCCCTCCGGCAAGAGCGGCGTAAGTTCTTTTTTTCTTCTTCTCTTTTTTCTGTACATTTTGATTACCGCGACAGTGCTGATATTGTATTTTAACAGATTCGCTTCCTCGGTGACCCCTCCGGCGAGTTCACCAAGGCACTCGACCTCAGCTTCGACAGCAGCGCCATCTTCGGCAACGACCGCAGCAAGCGCTACGTTCTTCTCGTCGAGGATGGAAAGGTCAAGGAGGCTTTCGTCGAGCCCGACAACACCGGTCTCAACGGTACGTCTCTGTTCTATCGAGCACATCGTTCTATGCTAACATCACTTGAAAGTTTCCGCTGCCGAGAAGGTGCTCGGTTAAAGTCATCTCTATATAGAGTTGTGATATCCTTGGAAATAGTAGAAGAAAATATATCATGCCCCGAGGCACAACATTTATTTCTGCGCCCTGCTGCACGGGACTTCGTAGCGCAGGTATTCAATGTACAAATATTTCATCCTTTCCAACCCGGCCAACGCCTGATAAATCGATGCCAGAATTAAATAGGCTAGCATGTAGTTGAATCAACCGAGCAATTAGAAATAATGGCCGATTCTTCGTTCTGAAACTAATTCTGAACCCTTCAACCTTTAGTCTGGCCCAATTTCTTCCAAGAGGTTATGGTTCATCCCATCTCCACCCTTTGGAGAGATCAATTACTGTTGCAGAGCCTGCCACTGCTCGGGGGTATAGCACTTGGGTGTCCAAGCATGAATAGCAGCGATCTCGGCCTTGAGCGCAGAGTTGACAAGTCGGTGTCGCGCAAGCATAGTCTTGCTCTCGAATTGAGGGGAAACTATCACAGCCTGGAACGCCTGTCCACAGCCACCTATAAGAGCCCAAAAGACAAAAACGTTAGCGAGAAATCAACAGGTAAAAAAAGAGAACATTTCGACGTCATAGCGCCCTCCCCATTCTCAATTTGAATTTCAATTTCCATACCAGATAAATCCTCAACCTCAACATGCTGCGCCTGCAGCGATTCAGTCAACTTATTCTTCAGCGAGTCCGCGGTGATTCCAGATGTGTCAGCCATAGCAGCGTTGATGGCGGCGTGGGAGCGCGCGGTAAGGGAAAATGAAGCCCGCTGGATATTATTGTTCGGGCGGAGGAGATAGCGGCAGCTTCTGCTCAGGACGGTCAAAGAGGAAGTGCGGGAGAACATCAAGTATGTGGTCGGAGAGGGAGAGGGAGAGAAGACGAGAAGAGAGATAAAGTGCCAAACCCGAAGTTATCGCGAAGTAACTATGTTGTAGTTAACTAGCGTTCCGGGAGTTGCCCTTATTACAAATTCAGAGCCGCCGGTCGGCTGTGGCTGGTGAGTGGCACGTGTGTGGCTCAATATCAATTTCCGTCTTGCTCTTCTGTCTTCAACTTGTTGCACGTCTCTCTATGAATTTTCTTCGCGTTGCTACACGTCGATACTCTGCCATGTCTACTATGAGGTCCTCGGAATGCTCGCCGTTCACTAATGTTGTGGTGAGCTCGATGAGAAAGCTGTAATTTCACCCCCCACTTCATCCCAGAGCTCCCCGCATTGTATGGAGCTTTGTTTAACTGATTATATGCAGATACCCGGAGGCATTGGCGGATAAGAGCTTCGATAATACAGGACGTAGGTTCCTTATTCAATCGAATTATCTTTTGATTTGGCTTCTGCAATATACTGACCACGTTCAATTGTAGTGCTCCTCGAAGCTCCTTTCGACAAATCCCGGATCCAGACCAACTCGGTCCTCCTCACCATTGACCTCACCACGGCCGTTGCCGATGAAGCCATTAAAAACCGCAATTCGATTGTCGTCGCATACCGTAAGTCGCACGCAAGGAGTCCGCATCCTTACAATCAACCGCCTCATGAACTTCATCAAATATCCAAAATCGAAACCAAAAGCCTAACACAACACAAATACACACAGACCCAATCATCTTCCGCGGCCTGAAATCCCTCACCTTCGCCGACTCCCAACAAAGATCCCTCCTCCGCCTAGCACAACATGGAATCAGCGTCTACTCCCCGCACACAGCAGTCGACACCGTCCCCAGCGGCATGGCCGACTGGCTCTGCGACGTAGTGACCGGAAACTTCGCACAGGTCCAACAAACGCCTAAAGCCCCCATCGAATCCTGTGCCTCGAGCATGTACTCCGCCCCAAGCTACCCCGAAGCGCCCATCCCCGCCGTGCAGACCCAAACCTCAGAAGGCCCAGCACACACCAGGTCCACAATCCATCCATCCCCTCCAGCCTCGATCCCAGAAGGGTTTGAATCAGCCGGTGCCGGTCGGCTGGTGACATTCACCGAGAAGCAGCCGCTCACTTCCCTGATCGACAACATCGCTTCCGGAATCGGCTTGCCGGGCGGTATCCCCATCGCCATCCCGCAAGGCCAATCTGTCGATGATATATCCATCCGCACGGTGGGTATGTGTCCCGGTTCGGGCTCGGGAGTCCTCCTCAAGGGTGACGGCGAGCTCCCTGATCTCCTGTTGACTGGTGAAATGAGCCACCATGAGGCTTTGGCTGCCACGGAGCGTGGCTCTGTTGTTATCTCACTTTCGCACACGAACTCGGAGCGTGGGTATCTGCGTTCGATGATGCAGCCTAAATTGCTCGCTGAGATTAAGCAGCAGTGGGATGCGGCTTTCCAAGATTCTGCGAAGACTGTTGATGACCTCAAGAAGTTTGATGGGGTTCCATCGGCAGCTGTGCTTCAGATTCGAGACCTTTATAAGGATCAGGGCGATGTTGAGGTTTCTGTTAGTGAGGCTGATCGTGACCCCTATGGTATTATGATTTGGCGTGGTAATTAAGTTTGCTCTTGGCTTTGCACTTGACGTCTAACATTACTACGAGAAGAAAAGCGCAAAATATAGTCACAATTCGAGACATCGTGGGAACCTTGTTCATCACTCCACTGAAGTATATCAGCTAGCTTAGCCATTTTGACAAGACCTATAGGCACTTGGACTAGAATTATGCAATATGAGGGAGTTTGACAAGATGTCAAGAAAGTGGTTTGAAATGAGAAGGATATCCTAATAGGTAGACAATGACAGAACAAAAAAAAGTGTCTTGAGAGAATACAAGACGGGATGAAGGACCCAGGTCATATATCGAAGAGATGTAGGCTATCGGAGACATGAAGGGAAAGAAAGCTCTAGTTTTTAGCCAGTCCTTCACGGCTGCACAGCCCACAATTCAGGGATGTAGGAAGATTGTGGTGAGTATCAAGTAGCGATATGGATAGAAATGAAGGAAGCAAGAACAATGAGACCGGGTAAAAACCAGACGACCAAGCCCCGAACGACTAAACGAGAAACAGGAAGCAAAAAATGAGATAGATGGTATCCGCGTGAGTGGCCTTAGCGAAGTCGGGAATGAATCAATAAAGAGCTCCACGAAACAGTGACTACAGATCAATCAGACTACCGCCACCGCGCTGTTGCTGTTGCTGACCTCCCCAAGGGTTGTTATTAGCAGGCTGTTGCTGCTGCTGCACGTATCCGGTCTGCTGCGGCATGCCTGTGAATTGTTGGCCGAAGAAAGGGTTTCCGGTGGGGGTTGCGTGTAGACGGTCCAGACCTTGACCGGCCGAGTTGACAAATGTGCCAGGTGCTGTGTGCTGTGCGGGGATTCGGAGGTCTCCAACATTGCCGAAGGTATCCTGGCCTTCGCCTGACCCGAGAAGGGCGTTGAGACGAGCATGGTGAGGGTCCTGTGGCGGGGTACTCTTTGATGGCTGTGGGGCCTGGAAGCTGGCGATCGGGTTGGGCTGAGTGGATTGGGCGAATCGAGAGCTTTGGCCATACTGCGCATTGTTCTGAGCAAACTGATTCGTTGCACGGTCCTCCGATAGGGAGTTGAGTGTTGGCGGGCCTGTTTGGGCAGGGTTGTTGAACTGTGTTTGGGTACGCTGAGCGAAAGGGTTGTTTGAGCCTGTCGGCATGGGCTTGAGGGCATCAGCAGGCTGCAGATGCTGCTGAGGCTGGTTCCCGACCCATGGGTTATTGCTTCCGGCGGTCTGGTAGTTCTCCTGGGGCTGCTGTTGTTGCTGCTGTTGCTGTTGTTGCTGCGAGTAGACATCCGCTCCATAAGGGTTGTTGGGATTGAATGCGGTGTGCTGGGGTTGAAGTGTGGCTTGCGGTTGCAAAAGGTTGTTCTGTTGCTGGCCGTAAGGGTTTTGATCAAAGGCCGAGGGCTGTGTCTGATATCCGTTGGCGTAGGGATTATTCATGCCGGTGGGCTGGTTCTGGAATCCTGTCGGTTGCGCGTATTGGTTGTTCAGGTAACCAGTTGTCATAGGCTGCTGCGCATTGATCGGGTTGCCAAACCAGTCCACAGCACCTTGCTGTTGGTAGCCCTGGTTGTAGCCGGTTGGTTGGACTTGAGCTGGGGTGTCGTCGAAGAGAGCATGGGCGTTGCTCTCTTCCAATTCGCGCTTTCGGAGGTCCTCCTCCTCTCTACTAAGCTTGAGGGCCTTGGCAAGATCCTCATCGTCGGCTACCATTGTCTCCTTGGCCCGTCGCTTGCGCTCATCCTCGGCCTCGGCCTTGCTGGCTTCAATAGCTAGGCGATATTCGGTGTCGGAGTCGTCCTCCCCGTTGCGTCGGCGTCGGTCTCTGCGCGGCGGTTCCACAGGGGAGTTTCCGTAGCCTTCGTCGAGTCCGCTCACGCGAGTCTTCCATAGTTTGCGATCTGATCGTTCACTGCGCAAACGATCTTCATCCAGTACCAATGCAGTCAATTCCTTTGCTGCCACGCGAACTACAGAACACCAACCTGTCAATTTTGCGACCCCTCGTGGTATTTTTCAAGTAACAACTTACCGTTCTGGCCAACATCCCTTGATTCCTCGTCCACGTATGTGAACTCGCGCAAAGTCTTGATAATATAGACATTCTTCCGGGCCCACGTTACCACCAACTCCGAGCCTTCATGAAGACAGTAGTCCAAGACCTTCAGTGACTTCAGCACGTGGCGCCAGTTCTTGCCCTTATCGTTGAGTCGCTTGTCAAGCATGTCCATGATCTCGTAGAACTCGTTCGGGCTATTATGCAAACGGCATTAGCGGCGCCCACCGGGTTGATCGCAGACTCAACTCACCTCCCGAAAGTCATGGCGGCAATCTCGGACATTTCAGTGCCCGTAGGGCCCCAGGGGTCATTACTAGTGGCTGAAAAAGTAAGTTAGCAACTTGGTCACCATGTGTGCGGGGTGCATCGGCGCAATGCAGCAGGCAATCCCCCCCCCCCCCCCCGGAAAAGACAGGGGCAGCAAGCCGTGGTAACAGCAGTTCTACATATGCGGCGGCAACTCGATGATCGCCTCGCCTGGGTCTTCGATGTAAGGGACTTGGTTCATACCATTTCGGACCTTGACCTGCACTGAGGAATATCCTTTTGTGACGTTCTTCACGCTCCGCACGACTTTAGACATGGTGTCGGTGATGCGACGGTCGCTGTTTGAAGGGAGATGGAACGGATCGTAATCGTAGGGTGGAAGTCGATGCGAAGGATTATTATCGCAGAAGAGTATTAGACTGCCAAGCACACACAGCCCTCTTTCTCCGTGTCGCGGCCCAAGGTGGTTGTCAAGCGTGTCACTCCGGCTTTGAAAGGGACAGGTTGACAGATTAGTCTAAAGGGATCAAGTGATTGAGCTTTAGATTGCCTTGAAAAAAGAAATAATGGCAAACAACAGTCGGCAGTCAAAGGATGGAAAGTGAAAAGTGAAAGAGAGGAGAGGGGATGGCTCGAACGGGGGAATGAGAGGGCTTGGCAGTGACGAAGCAGTTTAGACCAAACTTATACAGCACCGTTCAAAGATCTACACTTTGGATCTTTTTAAAGAAGATTTTTGATTTCATTTCGTTATCCTCACAAGCCTTCGAGTAGATCAAGAATCAGCTCTAAGATCCGTTCAATCACCCATATACAGTACATGTCCAAGTGCCATTACACCCTCGTGGCCGGAGGTCCGGTCTAATCGCCGTAATCGTACTTTTCTCCCTTTTTCCCCCTATACATTCTATACATTCTATATATCAATCCGGAATAAGCAATTCACGAACCTCTATATTTTGATCTTATTTGATATATTCTATCCAAGTTGATTCCAATTCATTCCAATTCTTGCCGGATGTATTCAAAGACCAAAAACAGGGTATGTTTCCCAAATGTGGCGGTCTTGGGCCGCGTCAGAACCTTGGTCAGGCAAGTCAGGCAACAGTCAATTGATGTGGATATGTTCAATTGATGACATGTGAAGTATCTGATATTGCATGTACAAAGTACTACAAATGTAGTATTATAGTTATTCAAAGTTCATGTTTGAATACTCAAGAACCAGCTACGTCATTTACTCTTCTAGAATGCACGAACATTCTTGGCGCTCCGATCGTATAGGCCCACATTGGGGTTGATATCTTTTTGTATCCACGAGTTTTCTTACTATCCATTTTTTATAGGGCAACAAATACACCGGGAAATAGTTCGTTTACGGAAATGGATGCTGATTGAGCCAGACTCAGTACCTAGGTACTTACGTATCTGCAAATGACCAATGATCCATGAACTATAAGAGACAGCATATATCTATAGCAGGTGTTTCCAGAACCAAGCCGATTCGGACTGCATGGCTTACCAATACATCAAGTTCCTCAAGTTAGATGATATCATCGGAAGGGTAAGCTTTCTACGTACTGAGGCCAGACGGTGCTTTCTATGAACTTGGCTTACAGGGGATCAAAGCGACGCCTCAACACGAGACCTCTGGATATCTGACCTACAGCCTCCTCCATGGAGACTCTACTTTATATCCAGGAACAGCTTGCGACGCTAGTGTAGACACCAATCTTAAAGCTACACATCTAAAGCTTAGAATGTACCGGGTAACTATCTAAGTAGAGGGGTGTATTCCGTGGGACCGCCAATGGTCATGGAGCCCAAATGCTCAACCATGACTTTACCGAAGGGTTCGCACGAGAACTGGTATTCAATATTGATGGGCATCGAGTATATGGTATGACTCTCAGCAACGGGGTAATGCTGATGTTTCAACATAGATGTGCACGCACCAGGTGCTACAGGACCCTCCGCCTGCGCTGTCTCGTTGGGGGGGGGGGGGGGGGGTGAGATGGCGGTCGAGAGGGTTGGGGTGAGGAAGGAGAGAAGAAGAAGGGAAGAGGTGGGAGGTGGGTGCCCTTTTATACCAAGAACATGCGTACCTTCCCAAAATGGACAGCTCCCTTGCACCTTCCCTGTCAATGTAACATGCATCGCACCTTCTCAGTCCGACGGATATTTGTTTACACGGGGGTCCTTTATTTACAAACGAGACCTGGAGCCAGTTCAGGCACTGTGAACTTTGACTATATGTAAGGCTAGAAGTCAAATGGATTAATTTTGGTTCAAATTCACGTCCTAGAATGTTATTCAAGAATCTCAAGCAATCCCATCGGACAGAGCACCAGCAATACTTTTAATAAACCCTTTATTCTGCATCCCATCCACCCATTCACCAGGAATGGCATCAAATCCATAGAACGCCCCCGCAAGACCTCCATAAACAGCCCCTGCAGTATCCGAGTCACCACCCAGATTAACAACAGCCAACGCCCCCTCCTTCCAGGTATCATACTTGAAGAATGCCCACAGAGCACACTCAAGTGTATCAACAACCCACCCACTACTTGTCATATCACTAGGGGCCTTCACCTCCCAATCGCTGATCGCACTGTATCTGTACAGTGACAAGCGCTCCTTCAGATCAAGCTGAGTAAATGGGAACACAGAGACCGCGTGGAAGATTTGCTTTTTCGTTTGACCTATAACCAGTGGATGTCGGTAGCCATTCTTGAAAGAAAAACAGAATCGAAACACAAACCATTCATAACCCTACACACCAACTCCGTATACGCTTCACAGGCTTCCACACACGCGAGCGAAGGATGAGTGATCTGGCTATGCCTTCTGGCAACTTCCCTCGCTAATTTAGAATCTTGCCAGTAAACCAACCCAATCGGGACGATCCGCATCAAGCTCCCGTTCCCGGAGAACTCATTGCGGTCCAATTGATCAGTGACCATCGCCTGGGCAAGTTCGAAATCACCACCCTCCATACCATACTTCACCCACATTCGAAGAGAGGTGCGAGTGGAGCGTCCGACATCCCATGAGTGGCTGACAGTGCTGAAATGGCCTTTGGTTATCCACTCGATAAAGTACTGGATTGACAGCTCGTGGTTGTATTGCATATTGGACTTGTTAAAGGAGCATGCCAAGGCTAGTGTCATAGATCCGTCGTCAGAGTAGGATCTTGTTCATGTTAGTCACACTTCGCCTATATGTGATAGCAACTTACCCAGCTGGTTGCTCGAAGGGTGCGACAAATCTTAAGCATGTGATCGGCTCGAATGTTCCTGGGTCTCTGAATTGTACGGGGCCACCGAGTGCATCTGCTACGCAGACGCCCCAGATGGCGCCTTTGGCTCGAGATTGCAAGGATGGAGACATTTTGATGTTGATGTTGATGTTGATATTTTGTTTTTGTGCCGAGGCGATTTCGTCTTATTTAAAAAAATGTCGAGAGTGACTCAAAGAGGGGAAGAACCTTGGAAAGTCGGAAACCGTCAGATATTGAGTCACCAAGGCGCAGTGTACTCGCCAAGGGACTAAAAGAACCTCAATAATATCGAAACTTAAATGTGACATAGTTAGTGCAAAGACCAATACGAGCCTTGGGATGTTTTGTATGGAGTACGGACTAAGCCTCACGCTAGGCACCTGCCTTCAGCCTCATCTACTCACATCCGAAACTCAGCTGTTGCGTGAATATCCCATGAAACTATAAGGCTGAGGCTGAATATATTGCACAAATGCATGTCTTTAGATGAATCAAACAGCCATGCTGAGGTGTGATCGAGTAATAGCTCATGTCCGAGGTATATCAATAAACATTTACTTATGACGAGGCCAGACAACATCTTTCACAGGTTGTCCATTACTTTCCTTCGCCAAATCCTCTACAGTCTTCCACTTCTACAGCCGCTGGCTAGGGTTAACAAGCTCATTGTCGTCCCCAAGAAAAGCAGGAGTATGAGCGATACCCCCATCACCCATCAAGAACCACAAATAAGCAGCGGGACGCCACGAAGGGTCAGCAGTAGTCTCCTTATGTTTTTATTAGGGGAGACAGTCAATATCAATCCGTCCCGCACCAGCAGACTCCAGTATCCCCGCAATTTCCGCAATTGATCGCGAATCACCACCGACATGAACAACAACCGGAATCTCCTCTGTCAGCATAGTCGCCAGCGAAGCAACCGTCCTACCGATGTCCCCAAGCGAGGTAAACGATACCGGCGTGCGGGATGACCCAGCACTAGTATACTTCCCGTTCTGACTATCGAGACCGAACCACGGCCCGATACCGTCTTCTAGAAACAAGCCGCAGAATACACGACAGATCTTGATATTCATGTGCGCGACGACTCGCTGGGCGTTCACAAGGTGTTTCTTCTTCTCCTTCCATTCCAGATGGACGAAGTCTTGGCCGCGACGAGTGGCCGTGTTATGGATGCCGTTTATGCTATTGGGGACTCTAGAAGAAGAGGTTGTCTGGAATGAAAAGATTATGAGGGAAACCGGGGTAAGTCTCGAAGTTATATTTAGATAACTTATTTCCCCACGTCTATTGTCTTCTTTGCGTCATTGGCAGGCCGTACAACCATCCCAGGTCTGAACCGAGCCCTGATTGGCTCACAGGTGTATAGATCTTCTATATTATACAACACAAAGGTATTTACGTCACTCGGGCTCGTACCAGCTCCCCCATATGGAGTATGTTGAGAGCGCAATATAGGAAGATAAAAGACTTGGCAATTGACATGTGGGGGTTTGGGTTAGGGAGTCGAGGTTAAAACCAGTATATATCAAATGACATGTGATGAATTGTGTATGGGTTCATGAATTTCTACCCATAGTACATAAAACCGAAATCTAGATAAGATTAATCCCCACGTGAGAGAGCGTATGGCCCTCAAAATGCTGTTCGTTTCCGCATCAAAACACCAGGCCCCATTGTGTAACTCCAGGGCCGACGCTTCTGCCAAAAAAAAAGAAAACATAATCAGTCTGCTTGTGCTTTTATTCCTAAATCCAAGCCCATTACTTCTCCATGCTCAGGTATTTCGCCTCGGCGCCCTTGATGCACGCAATGTTAGCGCCAAGCTTGTTGATCGTCTCAATGTACTCATCATAGGGATCCGAGTCGAAGACAATACCACCACCAGCCTGGAGGTATGTCACGCCGTCCTTGACCATCATAGTGCGAAGCGCAATGCATGTGTCCATCGCACCGGGCATCTCAGCTGAGCCATCTGAGTTGGCGCTGTTATATCCAAAGTATCCGACAGCTCCAGCGTAAACGCCACGCTTTTCACCCTCCAGCTCGGCGATGAGCTGCATGGCGCGGACCTTGGGTGCACCGGAAACTGTGCCGGCAGGGAAGATAGACCGGAATGCGTCGAAACGGGTCATGCCTGGCCGCAACTCTCCCGATACTTGGGAGACCAAGTGCTGGACGTGTGAGAACTTCTCTACGACCATCAGTCGGTCGACCTGTGTTGTGGTAGGGTCGCAGACCCGGTTGACGTCGTTGCGGGCAAGGTCGACCAGCATGACGTGCTCGGCGCGGTCCTTGAGACTGCTGCGGAGCTCCTCGGAGAGGGCGGCATCTTCCTCCGGGGTCTTGCCGCGCTTCACTGTGCCTGCGATGGGGTGGCTGATGATACGCCCCCGCTCTTCCTTTACCAGGAGCTCTGGACTGGCCCCGACAAGCTGGAAGTCCTGGCAGTCGATATAGAACAGATAAGGAGAAGGGTTGACGGTGCGAAGGTGGCGGAAGAGGTTGAATGGGTGGAGAGAGGTAGGTCGCGACAGCCGCTGTGATGGCACGGTCTGGAAAATATCGCCCTTGGCGATGTGCTGCTTCAATCGGTTGACATGGCCTTCATATCCATCCCGTCCGATGTTGGATGTATACTCCTGGTTCGGAATGATCGGGCCCTGGGGCGGAAGCGGTGTGCGATCCTGGAGTAGCGTATCGATCGTCTTCTGGATGATGGACTGGCCCTTGAGGTACGAGGCCTCGATATCGGCATCCGCCGAGGGAATGGGAACGTAGGTGATGACCTTGACGACTTGGAAGAAATGATCGAATGCAACGATGGTGTCGTAAAGCATAAAGAACGATTCGGGCACCCCGAGCACATCCTTCATCGGCCGTGCCGTCTTGGGCTCAAAGTATCTAACACAGTCGTACCCAACATATCCGATCGCTCCGGCGGTCAACGGAGGGAGGACCAATTCAGGTACTGTCGCGACGCGGAACTGAGAAAGCTCCTCCTCGAGGTATGGGAGGGGATCCGCTGCTGGGCCATGGCCCTCGCCGGTCTTGATGACCTTTCTGGGGTCTATATGGGAGGAAGAGGTAAGCGATGGAAGCGGACCAAAGACTCCTCCGGAATCACTGACCTGCGCCAATAAAGCTGTATCGTCCAATGGTCTCTGTGGTGGCAGCACTTTCATACAAGAATGATAACCGCGAGCTATGCCTGGGAGTCAGCGATCTTGTCCAGTATTCCACGCTCACCTTACCGCCAAAGTTGAAAACAACCCAATGACTCACTTTTCCGCGATCTTCAAGTATGCTAATGTCGGGGTTAAGAGGTCGGCAGGGATCGACGCCGTGACAGGAAGTAGGTTGGGAGGGAACTCGGAGTTTCTCGACTTTGAGATCACTTCTCGCGCCGTCTCAAGGGAGGGGATGCTAGGAAACTGAGTCATTGGTCAATGAGCGTAAACAAAAATCCCAACGGGGTTGTCGAAGAGCGGATAAATACAATAGCAAAACAGACGCGTACTTACAGGAGTTGCCATTTTGTTATAAGTGGCTAATATTGACGGTGCTATCAAAGAGGAAAGGTTGAGTTGGCAGTGGGAAAATGATTCACAGTGGGGGGTGGATATGTATTGTCGGGCGATCCAGGGTATGCGCCTCAGCCTGCAGATATTTGATACGAGGTGTGACAAAATAGCAAAATAGTGATATCAATTTTAAAGCCCCTTATAAATTTATTGAGCAAATCTCGAACCTTGGAAAGCTTATGTACTTCGTACACAGTACACGTTTCACAGGCGTGTCCAGTGTTTATATGAATTCAAAAACAGTCTAGCGTCGAGGGGTATATCGATTATCGATAAAGCGGCAATGGATGTATGTTGTACAAGACTTGATTTGAAAATTGGGGTATTTTCTTGATTATCAGACACTAAAAGTGAGTTCCAGAAATCACAGATTCCACCTGAAATGGGTGAAGGGGGAAAAAAGGCAAAAAAGTCCACCGTCGCCAGTCCATGTCATTCGCCGTGCCCACCCAATCCTGTCCCAAGCAATGCATGCCATTATGCATTTTCTAAAGAAAAATGTATGTTCACAGAAGGCAAAAAGTTATAAAAAAAAAAAAAAAACAAAAGAAAAATTTGGGAAAACCATAAAGGGTGTTATGTCTTCAAGGGAAAGAGTTTGAAAAGGCTTTTCAAACGGGATTGTCGAATTAGTTCAAGCAGGGCATGAGTCGTGAGTTTTATGTGGCTGTTTCAAACCCGCTCTGTCATCGTTGCAAATTGATGATTGCCAACTTGGGAGATTGAACTGTCAGCATGGGGGTAATTGACATAGGGAAACCAGACCAGGGAGCATACCTGTTTGTTAAAGCCATAAGCAAGTCGTTTTCCATCTGCGTCCCAGGAAAGGGCCCGATGGGGCTCTGGTTTCGAATAACCATTCTGTCCATGGTGTCCATTTTGTCCATTCGTCATACGGTCGGCTTCCTCTTTCTTTACCACGGGGCTAGTTGCGGTCCAGGTGGACATAAGGTTACCGTCAGGGTGTTCAATATTCCAGATAAAGAGTCCGTCCTTACTAGCCGCACCGAGGGCGTATCCGTCGGGGGAGAAAGATCCGGTGATAGCGGGGTTTGAGTCTAGGCTCAGCTGATGAATGTTCGTGTAATCCTTGGTATCGAGGTTGACCTGCCAAACCTTGACCTTACCATCCGCCGAGAAAGAGGCAAATTCAATGCGATGGGGGTCAAATTGGGGGCTGATATCAATGCCGGTGATTCTGTCCTTGTGGGCGTTGGGGATAAGAATGTCATGGGTAGGGATCCAAATCGAAGCACTCAGTCCCGAAGCCACGATGGCAACTGCATGGGACTCAGTTTGGACACACCGAATAAACTCCCATGTCGCATTATCTTTGGGAGAAGGAAATGTCTTAACCAGGCGGATGCTGCTGTCCACTTCGCATTGATAGACTGCACCCTCGCCAGAAGCAAATGCCAGGTTGCGTCCACACCAAGCGAGATCATAAATATGGTTCTCAATTATTTGAGGTGGAGGGAAAACATCTGGTCGGCGGCTGTCGTCCCAAAGCGCGAGTTCCGATACGTTATGATTCGAGGCAACCACGACCAGCTGCGAGCTACCGGCTGCCCAGTGTAAACCAGTAATGAGCCGGGGTACCTCGGGTAGTAAATCCACTGCGTCTCCATTGACATTGTACATGGTGATAGTGCCCCTGTCATCCGTACAAGTCGCGACGGCCAATTTCTCGCCAATAGCATCCCATGCTACGGTCGAGACATTCGTGTCACCCTTCTTAAACTCGAGGATTTTCTTCTGCACAGGCTCCGATGACATCGACAACTTCCACAAGCTGCAAAAGAGGTCACCAGCTCCCACTACCACAGTGGGATCCCGAGGACGCCACACGGCGTGGGTCACGTGTTGATCCGGATTCAGCAGGGCGGTGTCGGTGGTCAAATCGATGGGCTTGGCGGGGGCGATCTGGACGGAAGAGCTCTCGCCGTTTTCCAGGGTAGGCGGTAGTTCAGGGATCTCCTCGGCCATGCTGACATCACCATCCTCATCCATATGATCAGGAGTATTTGGCTGACTTTCAGTTTGCGCCTTGTCCTCCATCGATTCATCGCTATCAGTTTCATCCTTTCGGCTGCCCTTTCCGGGCTCAGCATGGCCGTTCACAGGGCGGTCGCGCGCAAGTTGGCCCGGCGAATCTGGGTCTGTGCCAACAGCCTCATCGCGACTTTCCACTGACCCAGGTTTGGTTCCAATTTCAAAGGGCTCTGGTCCGAAAAAATAATCAGACGGTGAAATGCTTTTATGATTGCCCTCCTGTGCATTGCAATTAGTTTAAACTGCAATTGAACCCAAAAAGAAAGTAGTTTTTTTTTTTTTTTTTTTTTTCTTCTTTGGCGCGTAAGAACCGTTTAAAATAAAAGACATACCTTGTCCAGCGAGGATTCCATCTCGTGATATTGCAGGCCCTTTTGGACCAGCGACACCAGCGCATGAGTTTTAATGTAAGGCGCAAACGGGAGAGTCTGCGGATCAGGGAACCACGCGCGCTGCAAAGACACGGCAGCATCGCCATGGCCTAGGTTGAGTTAGAGGTCAAATTAGGAAAAGTCAAGGGGCAATGTGACCGACCTGCTTCTTGGAGGTACCTAGAAAGGATATTAGTTCTGTAGGATATGCATGTGTTATATTGCACTTACCTCCATATTAAATAGTTGACATGATGCGACGTGAGGTCAGGTTGTGCCATGATTACATGTGCGACCAGCTAAGGGCCGCGGACATGCCA